TGGCATGCTTCTCTCAACAGATGCTGAGAAGGCCTTTGACCGGGTGGACTGGCAGCTTATGAGGGAGACCCTGAGAGAGATGGGCTTGGGACCTCACTTCCTTACATGGACCTACAGATCAATGGCGCCCTTTCCCCCCCTCACGATCAAAAACGGGACTCGACAGGGCTGCCCCCTCTCCCCCCTTCTGTTTGCCCTCACGCTAGAGCCGTTTCTGGCGGCGGTCAGACAGGATGGGGGTACAACGGGAATTGACGTTGAGGGCACGACCCACAAAGTCGCTGCGTATGCAGATGATATGCTGTTTTTTATTGAAAATCCAGCAATCACAATTCCAAACTTGCTGCGGGCATTCGGGGAATACGGACCGCTATCAAATCTTAAACTGAACACAACCAAGTCTGAAGCGCTGCCACTTCATCTACGCTCAGATACACTCGAACGGCTTAAAGTAAACTTCCCCTTCAAATGGTGCACACACCGCATTAAATACCTAGGGAGCTGGCTGCCAAGTGACCTGAGTAGATTATACCAGGGTAACTATCTACCCCCACTGGGTACACTCCGCGCAGATATGCAGAGGTGGGGAGCGTCGTGTGTCTCATGGTTTGGCAGAATCAATACCATTAAAATTAATCTTCTCCCACGGCTTCTGTACCTTTTCCAGACGATACCCACATGCATACCCCAGGCTTATTTTACAACCTTAAACACGACCGTTCGGCAATTCGTCTGGACCTCGGGTACAGCCAGACTTAAGCATACGCAGCTCACTCTCCCAAAATGCCACGGGGGAGTGGGTCTACCCGCCCTGCAATTCTACTACCAACTCATCTTCTCCGGATAGTGGACTGGCATGTGCCAACAACTGACAAACACTGGATCCATCTTGAACGAGCACAGGCCCGGGAACGGATCCCATCGGTCGTCTGGCTCCTAAACCTACAGACCGGAGCCATTAGAGAACACCCACTAATAGGGGCAACACTGCGAATATGGTCCCCAATACGGTCGAGCTCTCGACCACCCGGAACCCAATGACGCCCGTGATCTATAACCCTGAGATAGCGGTTGGCCTGGCGCCGAGAGATGTAACAGGACTGGGATATGCCAACAGACTACGTCAAGGGGATTGGTGCTCTGCCGGACAACTGACAACCCTTGAGGGCCTACTGACACAGGAGCGGGCGACCGAGATGCTACGTTTCCGATACCATCAAATATGACAATCGTACCTTACAATAACCGGAAAACACCTCATACACAGGAACTTAACCCAATTTGAAACACTATGCACTTCCGAGACACATCTACCAAGGGGAATCTCGATACTCTCTACGCTATGATACTCGCAGCCACAAACACCCAGCCGGCAGCCTACCAGGCGAAATGGGAGCAGGCCACGGGGCATGTGCTGTCCGAGGCCGAATGGGAGAAGATCCATATACTGACACATCAAGGGACGATTAGCGCCAAGCTCCAGGAGCTTAATTATAAACTCATGACTTGCTGGTACAGGACACCGGCACGACTTTTCCGCATGGGTCTCACCCAGACGACTAGATGCTGGAGGTGCGGCACCGCGGAGGGTACGGATTTACACATATGGTGGTCGTGCCCAGCCATTGCCTGCTTTTGGCAACAAATCCACGACAAACTGAACAAGATCCTGGACTCAGATATTCCACTGCAACCACTCCCAATGTTACTCCAACACACCACGATTCCCATTGGGAGATACAAGAGATCCCTCACTAAACATTTCTTGAATGCGACAAAGAGCCTGATACGCAAGCAACCCCCACGATCTCAGAATGGATGGAGAAAGTGGAGGAAATATATCACATGGAGAGCCTGACGGCAGACCTGTATGACACAACAGTTCAATGCACTAGATTATGGGCCCCCTGGATAGACTACATGGCCCGTAGATCGCGCGGAAGGGAGACATCGGAGGCCGAGTAGACGGGGACTGCACACAGACGTGTGCTGTGGGAAGTGTGGTGACATTCTGTCATCAAACTAATATGGTGATCAGGGGTCATGTGACCAAGCTCATGCTTCCTTTTCTTCCTTGGTGGATGTGATGTTGAACTTGCAGCAGTGAGCCATTACTAGATGTGAAGGCCTAACCGTGGGTGAGATCAAGCGTGTGTGTAAGGGGTTACTATATAGATAGATAGATTTAAAAAGGGTTGTTGCTCCGTGGGTCTGGGCTGTGTGTTTGTGATACATTTATAATATTGTGTTGTTGCCTTTTAATAAATACCTTTTAATGTAGACGAACCTTGTGTAATATATATATATTAATTTGGTGATACACCACATTTGGCGACCACGAATTTTAGACTTCTACAACAAATGTTTGTGAGGCGCAATAACTACCATATTGATACGTAATCTAAGAGAAAGAGACTTTATAGCATAGGATTCATTTTGTTGAAACAAATATACATATTTGTTTTGTTGACTGTTTTGAATTTGTGTATTGTGACTGACAGAACGTATTTTGTTGCAAATTGTAGCATTTATAGTTTAATTTTGTTTATGCACAGTTTTAAAGTATTGGTGATTAAAGGGGAAGATTGAATAGTTGCACTGCATTGGTACTATTGATGTTTTGGCCATTTTTAATAGCCCATGTGCTGTATTGTCTCTCTCCTGTTACAACTAACTAGAACTAAACTGAATATATTGTAATTGTTTTTAGATGTTACATTTTGTGGCTTCCCTGCATTCTAAGTTTAAATAGCAAACTGTTTTTTTGGGGAGTTATCTTTTGTCTGTTTGAACCATTGAATTCTGGGATTGGCATTGTGTTTACATGATAAAGGTATTGGGGCTAATACAGTGTGGTGGCTATTGTTTAGCCAGGCTAACATTTCCATTTTTACACTGGAGTGTGTTTAATAGAAAATGAACAGTTTGTATTTGAGGTAAAGGTGCCTATGTTATATGGTTGGGAATTATCATTGTGCTGAAGTTACAATTTTCAGTTCCCATATCTTCCTTTAAATCATTCTGTTTATCTGTAAACCCCCCACACTGCACTTAAACAAAGACAGAAGGGTGGTTTTGTATTTTGCTGCCTGTGGGCATTTGTTGTATTGAGACTGTGAAGTTTTTTTTCTTAAAAGACAAGAGTTTGTTTGAATAGGTTAATGTAATTAAGTTTCTCAAATGGTTCAAAGTCTTTGGAGACAGTTTCAGTTTTTTAAAATTAATCCCATTGTTAAGAGCGTGTTGTTTTTATTCCCTTAGTCTGCTGGTCTATTCGATTAAAGACTCAGGGAGAGCTCGGTTTTAAAATGTCATATCTAGGTACTAAGTATTTTTCTGCAGAAGTACTAGAGTACTTTAAGAATGACATTGACAAACATGATGGACCATATGAGCTTCCAGAACCAGCAGGCCCCAATTGTGGAAAATATGAAGGTTTCATGGATATTTTGACACAGATTGTTACGAATAAAAGGTGCCATATTAAGAAAAGGAAAAGCTTGGTGGCACAAGCGGTTGTTACTGCAATAGGGGGTTTGGCAAGCATGGTACTCGAATTGCAGCAAGCTAATTTAGTAACCACTAATAAAATGGAAGATGCTCTTGATGAAAGAGATTGTTTTAAAATAGCTGCCCTAAGAACAAACAAAATGACCGAGGGGTTGGAGAAGGAATTAAAGGAAATAGAACAACAGAGAGATGCATATAGTGCTAAGATCACTAAACTCCAAAACCTAGTTATGGAATATAAAATGAAAACTAAAGAAAACATAAATAAATGGGATAGGGAGATTCCTAAAGTATGCCCAGGCCAGTCTCACTACTAGTTTCTCTAGACAGACAAGCACTATGTCAATCACAGACAAAGAAAATTTCCAGAAATGGTGGGGAAGTATGCCAAATAACAACTTTAATACTTTTACACACTGGTTTATGAGGGGAGCAAATAGAGCTAAAAAAGGAGGTTTTAATTTAGAGGAATGGACAGAACTTTTAGAATATGCTATGGGTCCTTTGGCTAGCAGACTATGTGGATTTAATAACAGTGTGTCTGATCAGGCAGGAAGAATTGCTGAAACTAATTTCTATCTACTCAGCATAGAGAAAGAAATAGCGAATATTACGATGAGGCCAGCAGATGGTCCTAGAGAGGTAGCTCAAAGGATATTGTTCTGGTATACACTACGCCAACCTCAACAGCCTCTGGTGTTGGGCTCACCAGAACACATTGCTAAAGTAATGGAAGCCCTTCCCTGGGAGTGTCAAGAATTTGTCAGGCTTTTTGATCCAACACCAGCAGACTTAGAAATGGTCACCAGCAGACTTAGAAATGGTACTAACTAGAGCTGACAATTGGTGGATCAAGCATCCTTCCTCAAGACAGGCCTTCTCTGTCTCAGCCATAAGAACATTCAAGGTCGACTCTGGTAGAGATATAGATGGTAAATGGAGAAGCCAGAGGTGGGGTGTACCCCAGAACAAGAGGGATAATGGGAACTGGAGACCAAAACAGGACTTTGACAAAAGATGGAGAGATCTACAGAGGGACCATAGGAATGTAATGGGAGATAATTGGAGGAATAGATGGGAGGGGCCTAAGGTAATCAATAATAATTGGAATAATAAAAATACCTGGGAGAGGATAAAAAGGACAGATATTAACTGGGAAAATCACTATTGGGGAGAAAAACAGAGAAACAACAGGAACAGTTATTGGGAGAATAATTGGAGAAGGAACCATAGATGGGATGACCATCAGACCAATAGACGGAATTGGGATAATTGGAGGAATAAAGAAGGGAATAAAGAAGGGAATAGAGACTACTGGGACCTAAAGAAACAGACTGAAAGATTGGAGGCAGACATGAAAGCGCTGAGGGAACAGTTGAGAGAGGAGGAAAAGATTGATCAATTGGGGGGTCTCAGCAATCAATAACACTCATAATTTTGTGTTGCTCTCTACATCTGTATGTATGTTTGTTTTTCTTTTGTTTTGTTCTGTTCTTTCTCTCAGTCTTCCAGTCTCCCATTTAGCTATTCCTTTCTAATGATGAGATCTAGTGTTCCCACAGAGCAAGGCAAAGCTGTATTTGGATGATGATGTGTGTCAACAGAAGATCGTAGTGGATTCTTGTTACAGGATGGATAAGTATAAGCTGTATCACAGTAGGGATGGGAGACAAGCAATACGGCCAGAAGATACTCCAAATAAGGGAGAAGATTACAGTCTATATTTTAATAATCCTTCTATTCCTCCAAGGTGTCCGGAACAACGGCGACAGTGTTTTAGGCAAAGCAGGCTGTCAGGAAAAACGGGACAATTTGCAGCTCTACTGGGAGGAGTCGGAACTGGATTGAGAGTATGGAATTTTGCAAATATCACATCCAGTCCTACAAACTTTGCCGCTAGTACTCATGCTCATAATTACACTATACTTTTGTGTGGCAATGAAATAGATGAGGAAGAAACTTGAAAAGGGGGATATTTTTGTGGGGGTTTTTTGTTTTCCTCTCTCTCACTCTCTCTCTTTTTCTCTCTCTCTCATACATTCTTTTAACATTGCACACACACACACTCACCTAAATTCTATAAGTTCTGTTTTTTTGTGACACTCTGTATAATATGTGAATTGACAGCCATAGGAAAGTAGAGGAGAACTTGTGTCGCTGAGGGAACTATTCCGGAGGGACGGTGGGTTGAATTTCTCCTGTATATCAGGTTTTTGCTCCCACTAGGTTTTCCTGTACTAGAGGGATAACTAGATAACGGAGCAACATAAAAGAAGAAAAAGTGGGGGAATGTGGGGTGATGCAACCCCTATTTGACTGTTTTCTTTCACCCTGCTTATATCACTCACTATAATTCCTGTGCTCCCCTTTCCTACTTCAGATCTCATAGTTTAGATAGAAGGGATAAATTATTATTATTTTTAAATGTGCTCAACATAAGAGAAGAAAAAGTGAGGGAATGTGGTGACATTCTGTCATCAAACTAATATGGTGATCAGGGGTCATGTGACCAAGCTCATGTTTGCTTTTCTTACAGTGCGATAAGCTTTACCCTTTTGAAATGTTAATTGGTTACAAGTCAGGAAAGAGATAACCACTCCCTCCTTTCTCCATTCCTCTCTGTTCCTTCTTGGCTGTGCTACTGAGCAGTCCTTTAAGCAGACATGGCCTAATTTCTATCATGGTGAACTGTGAGTGGGATTTTATAAGATGTAGTTGTTATTGTTAGTTAGGTTGTTGTTGCTGTTGTTGGTGGTATAGTTAGTTAGATTGTGTGTCATTATTTGTATGTTGTTGTTTTGTCTCTGAATAAATATTTGTTAAAGTAGACGGACCAGAGTTTATATGTGTATGCGTACATAATAATTTATAGAGTTTGGTAATACACCACAGGAAGCGGGCCCGCACCCCCCCTTTTCTTCTTCTCTTCCCTCTCGCATCAGCACCCCTGACTAGGACCATCTACCCACCTTGGACACAGACTTATTGGACCGACACCCCAGAATGGGAATCCGTCTCATCGGAAGGCAGGGAGTGAAGTGGGAGGTTAATCCCCAGGGAGACATTACCTTGATACATCGGCTCATACCTACTTGACCGACACGCACATTCATGAGTACTATCCCAGTTACACAAGTTTTCCAAGTTCATCTATCCCCTCCACGACAGGAACAGAGGAAGCACTGGCCTGAGTAGGAAGAGTTTTGGCGCACATAAACCCAGAACGCAATGGGGGGGCACAAACGCTTACGCGCCCAGCAGATACCATACAGGACATGGATTTCTGAGCCCCTTCATGCCGATAAACATAAAGTAGACATCAACCCCAGCACTCGGGGCACGTAGGCGATGAGGTCAAAGTCTTGGTGCCCATACGGCACTCCTGCTAGCCATAAATCTAAGGCACAGCGGAACCGTGACTCAAGGACACTCGCAGAGAGCTCAGGGGAGTACTAGGGGGTACGGTAGTATAATAAGGGGAATACCTAACACGGGCACGAGATACGCTGCACAATAAAGGGTACTCACTCGGGTAACAGCCCCAAGAGGTGTAGCGTTGAACCCTGAAGCTGTCTACCCCACACAAACGCGGTTCAGCCGCGAAAGCTTGGAGGTTGCGCGGAAAAACGCTCTACTATGGTCCTCGACTGGACAAAATGTTTGTACAATGTTTGAAAAATCTCAAATTAAAGATTGTCAAAAAAAAACAAAAACTGCTGAACACGAGCCTTCTCTACATTAGTTCCGCCACTGCCTCCCTCTCTTCATTCGTTCCGCCACTGCCCATTCACAGCAACACACATAAATCATAGCTATGACTCTTCCAGCCACACTACGTCTAAACACCTGCAATGCACATGCTATAACCAGAGAGACATGCAGCTCTTAAAATGAACACTGCAAGTACCCGAACCACTTCAGCCGGTTGTGGTGGTGACGGTGCTGGTAGAATCCTGGTGCCTATCAGTGTTGTATTCTGGTTTTGTGTTGTCCTAGGCATGTCAAACCTCAGGCATCCCCCCTCTTCAAAATTTCTCTTCCTGACAGACACATGCCCTCACTGATGCATGCACTGACATACACTCACAGATACACAGTCATTGTCACACACATTGTTTAACCAACACACACTTTTTACTGAAACACACATTCACACACATACACACTCACTGACAAACACATATACACTCTCAGTGACACACACACAATAACACTAACAGACACCCTCACTAGCAGACACACTAAAACTCACCAACAGACACACACACACTAACACACTCACAATTTAAAAAAGAAAACATTAAGTTTCAATCCACCCAGCCTCCTACCTTTGGGAGTGCTGGAGTGTATTTTTCCCTGTGGTCCAGTGGGGCTGGCTGCAGCTTGGCGGGGAAGGCAGGAGGTCTGGCAGACAGGTGAGCGGTGGAGGCGCACGGCAATGGAGCTTTGATCCTCCTGCTGAGCTCCCTTGCGCACCTCTTAGTGATGCTGGGGCCAAAGTGATGTCATATTCCGGTTCCAGCATCACTGCGGTGTGCGTAAGGGAGCTGAGCAGGGAAGAGCTCAGGGGACAGTGCTCCCTCACCGCCTGCAACATCAGTGCATGCCAGCCTCGGGTGGGCCCTGAGGTGGCCAGCTCCTGGGCCCCCCAGGACAAGAGGCTGTATGTCTGTTTGTATCTCAGTATGTATGTGTCTGTATGTATATGTCTCTGTCTGACAGTATGTGTGTGTGTGTGTTTCAGTATGTATGTCTGTTTCATTATGTTTGTGTGTGTGTCTGTGTGTATTCTGTCAATGTGTATGATTGTCCCTTTATCTGTCTGTGTATCTGTGTTTCTGTATGTGCGTGTGTGTCTGTGTATATGTATAAGCATGTGTAGAAGTGTATATAATACAAATAATGCATGCCTACATCCAAACACCAACATTCGCACACATACTCCATACAAAAACACACATTCAAACACAAATTTTGTGTGTATACATATATAAATCCAAAAGGCTTTGCATGAATATATAAATAAATAATTGCCAGGTGCTTGATCCACACACAATGTAATAGCGAAAAAAGGGCCAGCTGTATAGATGTTACAAAGGGTTGGAGTCCAGCAGCCAGCAGCCACTCCTTACCCAGGTGGTTGAGCCCCTAAACCTTGAGTGGTCGCCTTGTCTTAAGCAGAGATGAGAGATTGGAACACAAAGATGGTAATCGTAGTAAGGCAAGCCAAAGTAAGTGGGAAGGAGAAGCAGCAAAGTCAAATGGTCCAAATTCAGCAACAGGTAGAAGAAACAGGAACAAGCTTCATTATAGCATACAGGAACCACAATAATCTGGCAAAGGTACAGATAGCGGAAGTGGCATATATAGGCCAAGAACCAGACACAGCTGAAGAGAGTTGTCTGTAATATCATTGCTTGTAGACTATAAGAAAAAGAGAAGAGATAGAGACAACAATTAGGTACACTGAGAAAATGGGGGGTAAAAGAAAAATAGTGTACCTACACAGTCTGAAATAGAAATCAGAAATTATGACTGACTGTCAAATCTCAGAGATACTAGACTAGTTGCTACCAGAGATAGTATTAGATCCATAAAATAAAAAAATAAATACATTTTAATTATAACAAATCTTAACATGTGGTGAATATGCTTGTGTACAAACAGTGAACATATAAAAGGTATTAGAAATCCATACCCTGTTAAAAATGCCTACTAGTATTATGAATTAATACAGCAATGTGAACAATTAAGCAGGACTGATTGAGACTGCACAGTAAGATTGGTAAGTATGGAGTCTTCACAGTGGCGTCAATAAGTAATAAAAATAAGTTGCTTAGTGGAGATAATAGCAAGATGGTACTAAATAGTATAGAGACACTATCTAATCTGCCTAAAGATAACAATTCAACAGGACTGATTAAGACCGCAAAAGAAAATTAACAAATACAAGTCTGAATGAAGGTAATGACAGGATAATACTAATGGTAAAAAAGGAGCTTATTTATCAAGGAAAATGAACTTATATTAGAAACCTAGATATAGTTATAGAAGTCCTATAGTCAAAACTGTCTATTCGTCACTAGGTATATATGTCTAATAGTGGTCCACTTGACACTCACAGAATACCATATACATATCAATCTGTAACAGGCAGAGAAGACATCTAGATCGCTTGGCAGGCAGAGAAGGCAGTCTGAAGACTCATGAGTGGGGGGGGGGGGTTGAAGTTGCGAATGGGTTCTATAGCTGGATCTCTAAGTACTCAGTGTATAGAATATCTGTTAGTGCTAACTCTTCAAGATATAAACGGAGACTTGTCAGGATGCTGATAGCTGCACAATCAACTGGCTGTACTTCGAATCCTACAGCTAGCACTCCCCCTGTGCCTTCGAGGGCACCTGCCACTATTCCCACTAAGCAAATGCCGATATGATAGGAGAAAAAATAAAATAAATATGAATTAATGAAAGAAAATAAATAAACTAATAAATCAAATAGCTCGGTCGCAAATTCAAGTGCTGGTTACTGAATTATAGAAACAGCACGCTAGGAATCCCTGACGCGCACGTTTCGCCTGACCTGGCTCACCAGAAGGGAACCGGTCAGCACACAGCATTCAATTTAAATATGCAGAGAAGTCCTCCTATTGGTGCGATGTGGCAACTTCTCATTGGTAAGTCCTGAACAGCATAGTGAATGACTTTGGG